CCAGGGTGACACCAAAGGGGGTGAGGTGAGTGATGAGGTGGGTGAGAAAGAAAAATTGGTTGATGAAAGTGTGGTTGTTTCCCCCATGCCTGCTCCTTTTCCTAATCTTTTGAAGACACCCGTCAAGGTGGCTAATTATTCTAGTATAATTAAAATGTTCAAGCAGGTGAAAATCAACATCTCACTCCTCGACGTGAAAAAGATATGCACGGTGAAGAGGAGGCTTAATGTCCACAAGAAAGTATTCCTCACCGAGCAATGCGTTTGATTTTGAGGATAAACACCCCTCCAAAGTTTAAAGACCGCAATTAGGAATTGTCAGGTGGAGCAAGCACTCCTTGATTTTGGGGGCTAGTGTGAACCTCCTGGCGACTATAGAATCTGAACACCGAGGGGAGTAGTTGAGGATGTTTTAGTGTAAGTCGATAAATTTTGCTTTCCTATTGATTTTATTGTGATTGACACTCACCCCGTTGCAAATCTTAGCTCCCAAATCCCTGTAATACTTGGTAGACCTTTTCTTGCCACATCAAATATGGTGATTACTTGCAAGAATGGACTTATGAAGCTAGCATTTGGTAACATGACTATGGATCTCAACATGTTCAACTTGTCCAAGCAAATGGGGGATGATGAGGAGGTGCATGAAGTCAATAGGATTGACACCTTAGTAGAAGAACACTTGGAGCTTTTGGGTATCTTTAGAGTTGAGGAGGAGATTAAAAGGGTTGAGGAGTTTAAAGGGGGTAGAAAAATGGACCCCTACATTTGAAGAGCTTCCACATCAAGAAAAGAAGATCTTTCCATCAGATGTACAAAAACCATTGTTGGAGTTGAAGCCATTACCATCCCATCTAAAGTATGCATATCTTGGGAAGGACAAGACCTTTTCGATGGTGATTAGCTCAACTTTGGAGGTGAAGCAAGAAGAGGAGCTCTTGGGGTGTTGAGGAGGCACAAGGGAGCAATTGGTTGGACGATAATGGACATCAAGTGGATAAGCCCCCTTAATTTCACACACCACCTCTACCTTGAAGATGACTCCAAGCCGTCCCGACAACCACAAGAAGGTTGAATCCAATTATGAAGGATGTGATGCGAGATGAGGTACTAAAACTACTTGACCTAGGCATCATTTTTTTGATTGTTGATCGTAAGTGGGTTAGCCGCACGCAAGTAGTACCAAAGAAGTTAGGAGTCACCGTGGTGGAAAATGAGGATAATGAACTTATTCCAACAAGGATAATCACCAGATGGATAGTATGCATTGATTACTGCAAGCTCAAATCATGTATAAGAAAAGACCACTTCCCATTGCCATTCCTCGACCAAGTGTTGGAACAAGTAGCGGGGCATCTATTCTATTGCTTCTTAGATAGATACTCTAGCTACAATCAAATTGAGATTACATTGGAATATCAAGAAAAGATTGCCTTCACTTGTCCCTATGGTACTTTTGCTTACCGTCGCATGCCTTTTGGGCTATGTAATGCCCCTGGAACCTTTCAACATTGCATGATGGGAATCTTTAGTGATATGGTGGAAAAGATTGTAGAGGTGTTTATGGATGACTTCTCGATGTTTGGGGATTCATTTGATGGATGTTTAGAGAACTTGGAGTGAGTTCTCGAGACATGTGAGGAGAAAAGCTTAGTCTTGAATTGGGAGAAGTGTCACTCCATGGTGACACAAGGAATTGTGCTCAGGTACATTGTCTTGGAAAAGGGGATCGAAGTGGACAAATTAAAAGTTGAGGCAATTTCCAACCTCCCTACACCGAAGGTCATAAAGGATATTGGGTCATTTATGGGCCATGCTGGCTTTTATCATCGTTTCATCAAAGAATTTAGTGCATTGGCCTGACTTTTGACTAATTTACTGTCCAAGGATATCCTATTTGAGTGGTCGGATAATTGTGAGGCATCCTTTCAAAACTCAAAAAGTATGCTTACCACACCTCCGATTATGCGACCACCCAAGTGGGACTTACCCTTTGAACTTATGTGCGACACGAGTGATTACGCAGTCGGTGCAGTGCTCTGTCAAAGAGAGGATAAGAGACCGTATGTAATATCCTATGCTAGCAAAACCCTTAACGAAGCACAAATGAATTATACAACCACTGAAAAGGAATTGTTAGCAGTAGTAGTTGCATTGGATAAATTATGTTCTTACATCATGTAACGCCCCAAAAACCACTTCGGACGGCATTACAATTTAAAACCATTCACATCATGAGAGCAACTAACATAATCCATCAATAAATAAAAATTCATTCATCATATCTAATATTTGCAACATCATCCCAAAAGAATATGCCCAACCCTGGCAATTATATCTAAAAGAATCAAATTTAACTTGCAGCGGAATAACAAATATATTAGACTCCACCGAGTCTCAAAAGCAATGTTCTAGTCTAGTACCTAGGAGAGTATAGCCCTAAGCATCCACCTCGGGTTCTACGTGCCCGTCTAGTAGAGCTTCCAAATGCACCTGTTCATCGACTCTGAGCTCCTCCTCTAGCATATAATCTTTAAATATATTGTTTGTAGGAGGTGAGCACTAAGCTCTGTAGTAATATTCCTCCCAAACTCGAACAAGGTTTAGAAAGCATGTAAAGGAAGTCGATCTCATTTCGCAAATATTATATATTAATTTTTGAAAGAAAACAGGAACATTTCAATAGATCTCAAGTTTGCACAATAACAACAAATTAAGTGAAGTAATAATGTCAAATTACAATTAACAAATCATTTCCAACTATAAACCATTTCCCACAATTTCTTGTAGAATCCCATACTTCCACAAGCTCTTGTAGAAAACCGTTACTAGTATAGTAAATCATTTCGAACCATAAACTATTTTCACAAGTTCTTGTAGAGTCTCATACCTCCACAAGCTCTTGTAGGAAAACGTTTCTGGTATAATAAACCATAACCCACAACTTGAATTCGTATCTCAGGTATGATGCATGCTTCGCATGAATAAACACATCGAGAATATCCTGGCCCACATACACACACCCAAATCCTCGCAAGGATATCTAACCTTTAAGAAGGGCGTATACCAACTCATGGCAGTGACAAATCCAACCCAGGAATAGTATACTACCCCTTCTCCTCAGTACCCATGAGCGAATAGTAGTATGGTCTTAACAAAGTACCAACCCCACTACGAGTGGTAGGAAAAATTCAAACCCACACAGAGTAAGAAACACATCTACCCACTCTACGATACTCGGTCAACGGCCACCCATGGTCATCCCAACATCCTCAAGAGATACAATCCCCAACAAATTTCTCACATAACAATCCAATTCCAAAATCCCCAAATTTTCATGTAGTATTACTATAAATCAATAGAAGAAAAATAAGCAAAAGATCATAAACCATAACATTTTATTGTTCAATATAAAGCCCTAGAGTTTTTAATTCCAAAACAAAGGAAGAATCAAAAGGAAAAACCATTTCTTTTGAAAACTAGGGTTTTATACCAAGAAAAGAGATTTCATGGTTATCTACTCTAACTTTGTTTAAAACATGGTAATTTTTGAAAAAATATCAAGAATCAAGGTTTTTCATGCATATATATAAGCTTTAGAGTCAAAAAATGTATATATATACACCCTAGCATCAATGGACAAGAATGGAAGAAAGCCCCTACCTTGGTGTTCTTGAAGAAATCTTGGGTTTTGATTCAATCCAATGCGCAAATCCCCTTTTATCTTGTGTTCTTCTCTTCCTTTCTTCCTCTCTAAGATTTTTCAGAGTTTGAGGTGTTGAAATGGGACTAAATGGGACGTCTTCATGTATTTATAGTGGAAGAAATCGGACCTAGATCGCGACTTAAAACTTTTGGAATATGTCGGGCGTACCAGTACGGTATGGCTACTAGTTTTCGGCGTATCGGTACATGTATCGGTACCTTTTGGCAGTTTTGTCCCTTTTTCCTGTTTTTCATTTCCAATTCACTTTTAACCCTTCCAAAACCAACCCAAACTTATACAACATAAATTTTTCATCAAATATAGTTAGTACAAGTTCTAGTACAAACGATTTCACATATTTACCCGAGTTTTACCGTATTAGCATTTCAAAAAGAAATGATTACTTCCTATATAAACATAAGAGTGTGGGGGTTTACACATCATTGGTTCACCGATAGTAGTCTATATTGATCACTCTACTTTGAAGTATTTGTTGTTTAAGTAGGATGCCAAATCTTCTTCGATCCTCCTACTCGAAGAGTTTAATTTGGCAATCAAAGATAATAAAGGAGTGGAGAATGTGGTGGTAAATCATTTGTCCTGACTGGTGGTGCAAGAGGTCGATGAGCACATTCCTATCCCTGATTTCTTCCTTGATGAACATTTACTTACAATTCATTCTGTGTGTCCTAGGTATGCTGACATATGTCATTATCTTGTAATAGGACAAAAACCACCGGATTTGAGCCTGGAGGATCGAAGAAGATTTATGGCGGATGTGAAGTACTTCTACTTCGACAACCTGTAACTGTTCAAGTACTGCCTTGAACAAGCCATGTAAAGATGCTTACCGGAGAATGAACAGCGGTAAGTCCTTACATTTTTCCATTCGAAAGCATGTGGTGGCCATTTCTCTACGAAGAAGACTTCATAAAAAATTTTACAGTCGAGGTTCTATTGGCCCTCTCTTATAAAGGATTGTATTTTGTCTAGTAAAGAATGTGATAGATGCCAATGTTTGGGTAGTGTGACCCGAAGGAACATGATGCCCCTCTCTCCTAAATCAATCTTTTTATTTTACCAAGTTTAATATTCTCTCTATTAAAACTTATTTAATAGAATATTAACTAGAAGTAATTCATAATCATCTGGTTAGGCGGACCATGATGGAAGGCCAAGGGCAGGGGGTCGTGGAAGTGTTTCGAGCTTGACTAATATATAGGGGTGGCAAGCTTTAGAGATTAGGGGTGAGGTCACCATACTAAAGAAGGCCGTAAGTAGTGGCTCGATGTAGATGGTTCGAATCAAGCGAAACCAAAGGCATTCGTCCCAAGATGCTAAGGATCAAAGACTTTTGGGATATGGAGCGGCTTGTCGGACTACATCCGAGAAGGCGTCGGTGAATACGGCTGCCATCTATCTTGATGGTTCAGCCAAGTTTTGGTGACGGACCAAAAGACCTAAAGAACGCAGAGCGTGAAGTCCAATTAGATCCATTTTGAGGATGAGTTTCAGTCGGAATGGAGGGTTCCTACTTGGTTGTGGTCCGCCATGTTGATGAGCCTGAAGCAAACAGGCCCCATACGCGAGTAGGTGAAGGCCATCTTTTGTAGTTTTCCCTGGACATTTTTTATATGACGGAAGAGGATCGGTTCTTCGATTTCATGAAGGGGCTCCAATTTGTGCCAAAATGTCCAAGATTTAGGGGCGGCATAGGCAGCTAGCCCGCTAGATTGAAAGTACTTAGCTAGGGGAGTCGAGACCAGGCCAAAGGCAAGGGCCTAAAGTCTCGAAAAGGCAAGGACTCCAAGAAAAGAAGCCAAGTCTGAGGCCAAGAATAGCGAGCTCAAGATCAGGAGCCAAAGCGGACCGAGAAAAAAGAAAAGAAGGAAGGCTTCATCTGCTCCAAGCCCCTTAAAAAGTAAAGGGTGACTGACCTAAAAAAAATGGAAAGAGTGAATTTCTTCCTCAAATTGGATTAATGGCTCGTCCAATTGGAAATGGTAACAGAATGCATAGGTCATTAGAAGGAGTTCCAATAAGAGAATAAATATAGTATACCACTTTACTTATTTCCTCTATGAGGGAGAAAGAAAATGGAAGAACCCCCGAATATGTGCAACACTTTCATTATTGGTAGCCAAGGAAAATGACTCGTGGTAAAGACAAGATAGACTTTGACTAGAGGTGCTCGGAATCTTTTTTGTTTCGATCCGGGGGAAGTTCTCGCTCCTTCACCTAGTAAACTCGGTAAAGCGACTTCGTTCCTCGCTTTTGTTCAGTTATAAATAAATAACCACTTTGATGGAGATTTGTAGCATCATTCAAGTAAATACAAATTGAGAGTGTAGAAACATGAGCTTGTGATATAGCTACACCTAATTCCGGACCGGTTAATGCAAGAACTATAAATAAAGGACCCGGATCTCCTATAAAATATAAAAGATCATTCATACATAGCATAGTACAAGCGGACCCACTTAAAACCTTTACTGAACTATGACCGGCCATCATATTAGCAAATAAACGTATTCCTGAGCTTACTGGGTGAAAACACTGAGGGATTAGCTCAAGGAGTACTAAAAAAGGTGCTAACGGCAATGGGACTCCTGCGGGTAATAAGAAGCTTCAAAAATGAAGCCCATTTCTTTGAAATCCCACTATAGGAATGCGAATAAAAATAGAAAATGAGAGACCCAAAGTAATGAGAAAATGACTTGCAACTGTGAAGCTATAAGGTATCATACCCTGGGGATTACGAAAGAACGAAAAAGTAAAAGTGACCGAGATGCGAGGGGAAAACTTTTGTTTAACATTTCCGGAAAGACCACCTATTTGTTCGTTTACCGGGTTCGGCACGAAATCATAAATAAGCTCTACCAATGATTGCCAAGCATTTGGTACTGAGTTTCCTCCTCCGTTTTTAGTAACAAAATGAACCAAAAGTAGGACCAAACTGAGAGTTAGTAGCATAAACAAAGATGGAGTTGTGAATGGGAAATACAAGTTTCCTATATTCATAGGAATCAATGGTAGAATGGCAAATTGTTCAAGTGGGTTGTTGGGCGTAATCGTAAGAAACACTTTTCATTTTATCCCTGTAGTTCCGCTTCTTGCTCTAAAAATGAAGAAAGACTTGTCAGAAATCGCCGGTTGGGTTGGCTTTACCGACTAAAAGCCAAGAAAGGCATGGGAGTCTTTGGGCATTGCTGGGGCTAAGTCAAGTTTGGGCCGAGTTAAGTAAAGACTGGCTACCTAGAAAGATCCGTCACTGCACACTTTCTATATATCTGTCTCCATTATCGACTGCACGTTCTAGTTATGAATCGGAGATAGAACAATGGGGAGGTCACAATTTGAAATCCACTATTACTGTTGTTTTTGATGTCGAAACGATCTTTATACATTGGCAATGAGCTTCATGTTGGTAGAGAGGGGCGCTTTCTTGGAATTAATTCATAGGCACTTTCAATTAGTTATACTTCTATAAATAAACAAATATAAAAAGCGTGCGATACGCAGCATCAACCAACGGAAAAACGTAGTCACGGCCTGTGCTATAATGCATCCCCAAAAGCCCTCCACCCCACCAAAAAGTAAACAACCCGTGGTGCCTGCTCGTGACACATAGGACTTGCTGCAATTCTTTTCTTGCTATTCGTGATTACTTAATAATGGATGGTGAATGGATTTCGATGAAGGAATGGGTTGAAAAAGCCTTCCCCCTCCTCTTCTACCGCTGCGATGGGCATCCCGTTGGCAGCTCCTACGGAGATCGCTCTGAAGAACTACGCAGCGGTTGTGGCTGGTCATCCTAAACCGATCGAGACGAAACCTCTCAAAAACCTTCGGTTTTTCGAGGTGAGTCTACAATATATTTTCTTTTGAGGAAACCGAGGTTTGAAACCCGGAGGAAAAATCTTGATATTACTTGGTGGGGCGTTTCCTCCGAGGCCGCCCTCGTCTACCTGTCATTTGGGAGTTTGCTCGCAAGAACTGGCGTACCAAGGGAGTCGATCACTCTTTTAGATCCATGGCACATCTTCATCAAGCTCTCGAACAAAGAAGATATGCACAAAAAAAGAGCAGTTTTTGATTGAGGGATTGATGTTTAGGGTTTTCTGCTGGAGCCATGATTTTCGTCTCCGCAATGGTGATCCAATGCATGCGCCTATTGGGGCGAACCCATCTGCCTATTGTCTTCTTCTTTGAGTTTCGCCTGTTTTCTATCATCTTTACTTTCGAAATTGGCCTGACCCTTAATGGTCCTACGAAGCTTGTCTCATGCCCCAACGTAGCTAGGGTTTGTGTAGAAGTCGATCTTCCCAAGGAAAACCTCCCAAATCGTGTTTGGATTGGATCTACCGTGTATGGATCACTAGCAAGAAATCGTTTCTTTCTGAATACCTAAGTTCTGTATGCATTTCAGACAACAAGGTCATGCCCATCACCGAGAATGGCCTATGTTGCAAGAACCAATGCTACCAACCCTTTTTTTAGAGCAACACTTACCACAGAGAAGGATCCCATAGAACGTAAGAGAAGGAAGGGAATTTCACATTCACGCTACGACCCTAATGCTTTCAATCTCTCCATCACAAAATAGGTTGCAATGAAGCGAAGCCAATTACACATTTACACATAAAGAAGGGGAAGCTTGTAAGGGGTATCCTTAGCCCAAATCCCAGCCTTTTAAAAAGTAACATGTTCCCGGATATCCTCGTAGAAGGTGCGTAGCGTTTAGGCCACGGTAGCAAGTGTTCTATAAGGAGCTGTGGGACTAATAGAACAGGCTCTTTGCCACGTGGGCTACTGTTAGCATGTTAGTTGCCTCTTACCTGACCCTTCTTACTGGATTTCCTGTCTTTCCTGATGGTGAATAAGCGCTGTGCAAATGAGTTAGCAGGTAACTCAATATTTCATAAAACTGGTAAAGTAGAAAGATTAGCTCTTCCTTCCTAGGCGGCAAATCAAATAATGGATTAAAGAACAACCATAAGGCTGCATTGATCAAATAGATGACTAAGGCTTAGAATTGATAGCAATTGAATCAGCTGTTGATGCAATAGAAGTAGAAGGTCTTTTCGCAATATCCCCTGCTCTCGAACGTGCTCTTGTCGCAATTGAATCTGAATACCTTATTTTCTGGGTATTGGCAGTGAATCAGATAGAATAGGTAATTGTTCCATTAGGAGCACTTGTCTTATAGAAGTAACCGGTGTCGGATAGAAGACTGTTTTAGTTACCGGTGCTATTGCTTGAGAAGAAGCTACACATTCATCTTACTCGATAAATGACTTTTGAATCGAGAGCTTTTTTACCAAATATTCCTATTTAGGAACTTCACTGAGAGTAACTACACTAAAGCAAATTTGATAGGATTCGATTTTGTACAATTAATCTTAGTAGACGTTTTTGTGGCATTCTCCTTCATGAAGATGGCATCAAGCCGATGTGGGACTTGAGGAATAGAATACGGGGATTTCTTTGGAGAGGAATAACCAGAATTTTAAGCATTCTTCGTCCCTTATCTGCACGTAGTTGACAGTTGGGATGGACTTTTCATTTTGGGATTGAACTCAGGCTCGGAACTTCACTAAAAGCAGGGGAAAGAAGTGACATCATATACAAAGAAAAGTACTCAAATGCAAGCTCCTATGGAACTGTTTTCGGGTTTGGGGAAATTGAATCAAGACTACCACTTACAATTGAACCAGGAATTGCTGCTTGAAAGGGAAACCAAAACCCTGGGTTCTTCCACACCAAGCTGTAAACCAACCCAACCCCTTGAGTCGATATCTGGTTCCCACCTTTACTGCAGTTGTAGAAGATAGTTCAGTAGCTGCAAAGTTTTAGTTCCTCTCAGATGTCACAGGTTTACTTCCTGACTTCTTTCACTTCTAAAATGTAGGGGTTCAAGTCGAAATACCCTTCCCTTTGATTCACTTTTCACTTTCGTACCCAATATCCCTACTAGTTTAGTACCAGATGATTAGACTTGCTACATCCATAAAGTGGGGGCAAGTCAGTCTTTAGCGTCCTACCGGGATCACATCCTCCACTCCTTTCCTCCTTGCTGCACTCATTCTTTCTATCGAACCTAGCAAGAGCTTGACTCCTATCTATCAAGGTAGTCGATCGAGTTGCTTTCGCATAGGAATATGAGACAAATTTATTTTTCTATTTCATGGGGCTAAAGAAGATGCAATTCTCTTTTGCACTTCATATGTTATTTAATCAGAGACAAACTAGAAGCTCTATTTTTGATCAACCCTAGTGGGGAATATCGGGATTAGTCTTTTGCTTCCCTCCTTTCCAGCAGCTGCAGCAGAAGAAGAAGAGTTCTTTTTCTCAGTCTTGGTCTAGTGGATTAGTACCTTCGAAAGCATATTACTAACCTCTTTTTTGGTTGCCCAGAAGCTCTTTGAACCCCTTTCCTTCGAAGCAAGGTCAAGCCTCCTCTTCATCTCCCTACCGGTTGAGCCCCTTCATACCTCTCCCTTCTGTAGAGTTAGTTCCTTTATCTCCTGAACCCAAGAAAGGAGAGAAAGAAAGGGATGCTTATAGCCTGATTATTTCATTATTCCCTCACCATAGATTTCAAAAAACTTTT